TTTGAATGTAACATAAAAGTGATGATATTTTCCAAATAAGGTAGACATTTGAATATGTCCTTAATGAGCAGGTGAATTATATTGTTTAAGCGTCAGATGTACAATAATGATCATTATTCTTATAGAACAGGACACAGGTATTTACAGGTAAATGTTAACATACATCCGCATCTGCCTGTGTATTAAACTGAATCTGGAATAGTTCTATGAATGATTTTCCCCCAACATATTTTTTATTACTTTTTGCAAAGTAAATATGTTATATCAATGTTAACGTGGTGAATGTTAAAAGGATCATGCTCAGGACTTTTAGCCTGTGTGTGCGAAAACTGTATGTCTATGTTGAAGACTAAAGCCGAAACTACAGTCCAAAGAAATTTAGTTTTAAAGACACAGGCAGGCAACACATATCAAATGCCAAAAAGACTATTTTAACAATAACCATAAAGAAATGTACACATTACATGATGAAAGGAAGGCACACAGGCATCAATGATTCATTCTTCTCAGATGAAGACTCCGGTCAGAAAATAATAACATTTAACCTGAAGCAAGCACATTTCATGATTTTAAAGCTTTTTTTTTTTTTAATTTATGAAAACAGATGTGACGAAATAAAATTCATGGCAATGTTAGCATAAATTGATGAAGTGAACAAATGAAGCCTTGAATTAGAAACAAGCATCCACATTTCTTTATGGTTTTTGTTGTTCAAAACATAGATCATTTTAAATCTATCATACCTTCTTCCTCTTTTTGTTCTTCTCCACCATCAGCTGGTTGTTGCTCTTCCTCATCAGCTGCCTGTTCTTCTTCTTCAGCGGCTGGAGCATCAGCAGGTTCTGCACCTTCATCTTGCGTCTCACCTACAAGAGCCAGTAATATAGTTAACCCCAAAAAATACATGATTCAATCTCCAGGCTGGAAAGTACCAAATGATGTTAAATCAAATCCTGTCTTTATTGAATACTACATTCACTGACTATAGTTGGACATATGGATTTCGTTATGAATCTCAATATTTGTGTCAACATTAAATGGTATATGTAGATTATCTCTCTAAAAGTAAGCAAATGGCTTTTGATCATTTACATATTTCTATCATATACGTAAGCATATGTGCTACTAATAGAACAAATCAAGACCATGATAACGCTTCAACTTTAACACAAATACAGACACACACACACAGAAATAAATTAACCTAACCTTGTTCTTCTCCGTCACCTCCTTCTGGTGCCTCGCCTCCTTCATCTTGTTTCTCCTCAGCTTTGACTATAAATACATCACATAGAACCAAGTATAAGATATTGCAGAATTGAAATTGAAATCAATATTTCTCAAAAAGCACCTTTCAGATATTAAATTCTAGATTTCACAGGACCTTCATTAACCGTTAAGGGTTTATTTTACAACAACAATATACTCTAGATCAAAATTTCACCTTCTTGTTTTTACTAAAAAGATATCACCAATTAACATTTTTAGGAACACTCTGGTGTATTCTTGATATTATAAACATGTATATTATAAATACCTATTACAAAGCATTTTATAAGTCTAAACCAAACTACCAACATTAACCCTTCTCACTGCCATTGTCCATTTATTTTGAACACCACAAAGTTCAAAACTCTCCGTAAAATATAGATTTCAAATGTAAATGTTGAAAGCAAGAAAGCCATGTGACTTGTTTTTGCCTCTTAAATAGTTTGTTATCTCTTGTTGATTGCATAAACTAATCTATGTAGCTATTAGAAAGAATACATGAGATGATGCGAGAAAACACTATTTGAGGGACACAAACTAGTCACGTGGTGATCTCGATCTAAATGAGGTTGTGGCAGCCATTTAAGGAGCATTTAAGGTCTTTTGAATATTGAATTTAGAAAAAAACTACAAAACCTTGATTGTGAAGGAGTTAATATGGCTAGATGGTGTGTAGACATTTTGTTTTCACATTATATGTCAAGTGAATGTTTTCAAAGAAACTCTACCACCCCGTTTATAGGTTTACATTTATGAATAATAAACAAACAGTTGACCATATGACATGCTTACACCTCATGCAACAAGCAATTAGCATTGGGACGAGCAACATTGAGAAGGTTAAGAAAAAGTGCCCACTACCAAAGCTTGTCTGGCTAAATTGCAGACATTAACATAAGATCACCATCCAAATATGGTCATAACAAGTTTGGCTCAGCCAATCAGGTGTTATATTTAAATTTAATAACCATACCATAAGCGTATCATCCTGTCTGACTGACTGAGCAAAACAAAATATGACCATATTAAGAAATTAAAGTAACCAGCTAGCATTATTTTTTGACAGATGATGCAAATAATGTAGTGAATTTTGATGATCATAACACAGAAATGCTTCAACCTTCGGCATCTCCATCATCATCAGCTTCTTCTTCAGCATCTTGCTCTGCCATTTCCTCCTCTGAAGCAGGTTTTTGAAGGAAAATTGACAATGATAAAATCAAACAGTGCAACTGTGCTTACAGTGTACTAGTTAATAACAAAATACCCCTTGAATGCCATTATTTTTCCTTCAAGATTCTGATGCAAGTATCTTTTTAATAAATACTTTGTTAATTTGTTACCAAATAGACATAATTCTCCAATATCTACACAGATCTTGACCCACATTTTTGAAATAAATAAAAAAACTTATGCAGATTAATTTTGTGAAATGACAAAAGTTCACTTTGGCATTCAAAGAGTTAGCTGATACCACTAGTAAGGTAAAATAAAAAGATGGTGGTAATCTTGTACAATCATTCAATAACTAAATCAATCTGTTGAAAATAGAAAATCACAACTGGAAATTTTGTGTTCCACTGCTAATACTTAGTTTCAAAGAATTTAGTATAAGGGTAGATTGTGTCAAGTAAAGTGTTTTTCAAGATATTCTTCAATAAAGATTTTCTCAAGATATTTTAACAAATTGAACACTATTACTGTGCTTTATAGATTATGAGCAGCATACATCACTAAGGCTGTCAATGTGTTACCATTGGCAACTATCTACATTAGTAATCGAATACTGTAGGTTATTTTATTGCCCCTTAAAATTTGTTGTCACTGATTTCTCCAGAAAAAAATTAAACTCATGAAAATTAGTATATCCCTAAGTTTTGCATGGAGCATGGCCACTCAATAACACAAAAAAAATTGTTTTCAGTAATAACAAAAATATATTCAATAGTATTCTAAGGAAACAATGTAACATGCCATTTTCAGTTGTATTTTCTCACATCGAATTACTTTAAATTAGGGAAAACTAAAAATATCTAAAATCAAAATAAATTACAACAATTCCCTAAGAGAGGATAGAATCAGACAATTAATTATAGGAGTATCAGGACCAAAGCTGAAGGATCTTTATGTACCAGTATCATTGTTTTGCAATGAGATTTTTTTTTTTAATTTTAATCTACAGCTACGATATGATCCAAAGAATAATGTTCATCTTAACATAAAATGGACAATCTAAAGGGAAAGATATGTCAAAGATATTAAAAAAAATAGAACAGCAAAAGACTAGAATAAAATTACATGTGATTACACAATATGGTATGATGCTATTCTGTACATTGGAGTAAAAACAAAGCTATAGCATCAGGTTAAGGCGACATTAATTTTAGACACTGATGGTCATGAATTGTTTCTTTGGACATAACATGGTGATGCATCTAATATTAAATAGACTGTACCCTCAAATACATATGTGCTTATATATAAGAAAATGGAAATATCTATATGTGTAGGTAGTGACCAAGGTCACTAAATTTGATGGTTTTAAAGTGAAAGTAAGAAAAGATAGATAGAGATGAGAAGATCTAACAATACTAACCTTCTTCTTCATATTCTTCCTCTCCTTCACCATCATCCAAATCAGCTTCCTCCCCTAATAAAATGTACAAACATGATTCAACAGGGGACTATGGGTCTTGGAGTGTACAAAATATCTTTCTAGCTTTAATAGAAGTGTGACACTAAATTGCTAAATCAGCAACTAATATAGTCTTACAACGAGGTTCTTTTAATTAAATAATTGAGCCAGATTAACCTAAATTAAATACAGCCATTTTAAAGTATTCTTCAAGTACTTTATTTGCAAGATCATGGGTATCTGATGCACACCAAAATAGTTGTATTCTGTATTTTATTCAGATGAATTTGTACATAATAGTCATGAACATTAAAAACATGTAGTTATTGCCTATTTGAAAGTTTTATTAGGCTTAAAAGGCAGCCAAAGTAACTGAACTGATTATCCAAGTTATAAAGTACTCTACCACCTGTTGATTCTTTGATTAAGGATGTTTGAGACAAAACATGACTGCTTTTAAAATGTATGTAAACAATCACTTCAGACATTCAGCAAATTCATTCTTGCACTGTTTTGTTGTAGATGTTGAGAAGCACAGTGCTTCAAAGAGTGGAACTGAGGAACCCCTACAGCAAATTCTGAAAGTCTCCAAAAATGAGAATGACATGTATTGGCTTACCTTTCACAGTACCATCAGGATTGAATTCCACCTCAGGAAAGAACTCTTTGATTTTCTCAACAGCATTGTCAGGATTTGAGCTAGCATGGATAGCGTTCTGCAAGATGTCTTTACCGAGGAGAGCTCGCAACGACTCTGGTACTTGTTCTTTCGCCACGTCTGGATCGGGCGGCCCCATGATATCACGAAAACCTGTTACTGCATCTTCCCTTGATAACACCATGATCATTGATGGACCACTGGAGAGTTTAATTGACATTTGAAGCACATGAAAATAATCCACACCCATGAAGTTAAAATAGCTGAACAATCTTGTTTTCAGCACCAGAGGGAATATTAGTTTAAATGAATGAAAAGTTTCAATGGCTATGCTAGTATTATACAGGCAGATAGAAATAATTACCCATTTTGCATTGTATACATAATAAACTGTATACCATTTAATTTTTGCAAGTTGAACATGATTAATGACGTTCGTCTCTGTCACTTGTCACGCCATGTCAGTAAGACACCAGTGAAATTCTCACTGCTACAAAAGTTTGTACTATTCACTTATGTGTGACATTCTGGTCTTTTACAAAAATAAAGTGTCATCTAAACCAAAATGTTTGCGATGACAAATGCATGTTCATGTTTGACTAAATTTCATCCTGCCCGGAGAACCCAAATAAAGTTTTCATTTTTTTTTTCTGACTATGAAAAATCGTTATTTCTCCCACATAACTACATTCGGACTGATGCGGCCAGGTAGCATTATAACCAAAGAAAACCCTGTCTCAGGAAAAAGAAAGATCACAGGTGTACAATTTTCATATAATCATTGTCTGAGGTCCCTATGGTTGCTGAAAACAATGCTCAAAAACAAATTTACAACCAAGTCTTATATGAAGCAAAGTGTGGACGAATAAATATGGGTTTCAGGTTCAGCTTAAGGCCAGTTAACCTTCCCATTATGTGAAAGAGGATAATGTGAATCAAGGGTTATCAGGTGGTGGTGAAAAAGGGTAGGGAATGCAGCAAATACATGTACATATTATCTGGAATAAATATATTCATTTAGAACATATTTCATGCAAGAATAAAACAATCCGATCTTCGTTGATCAGTCATATAATGACAGTAGTAGCTTTTATTCTACTGTCCTCATACGACAGTGAACTGAACCTATCTATTCCAGATTTGAACAATGCATAGGAACACAAGATGACAGGGGATTGGAAATTTTTTTTGAAAAATTAGAATTGCGTACTTATTATAAAATCATAATGAATAAATTTTTATTGTCGCTGATTGTTAATGATACTATGACAATTAATGAACATATAGGGGTGGAACAGGGGTTGGAATATGTTTTGTGTTATTCAAAGATACAACAAATGAAAATATATTAGAACTAAATATTAGTGAAAGAGTTGAAATATTCACCAATCCAAGCACATAATGTTTCTATAAGGTAGAACCTATAGCGATGAAGTACTTCTGTAATGTAAATCGGTGTAGATTTTTGGGAATAAACATCTGGACATTTTCACTGCCTGACTACCATCTCTGGTAAAACCAACAAACTCTCAGAAAACTGTTGATTGAGCTAGTTGTTGAGTTGAGTTTGTTTTCCCAACTTTAGCTGTTTTCACCAGCTCTTCAACTGGT